CATGCCAGCCAACCCTGCCCCCTGGTGGGCTGAGCTGGCCACACACACACACACACACACACACACACACAAATAAATAAAAAATTAAAAAAGAAAAAAAGAAATGTTAAACTCCTAGGACAGAACAGGCAGACTGGAGCTGGAAGACTAGCTACCCAAAACCTTTGTCAGGGCTCTGTCTGAGGAATCCACTGAAGAAATCTTCACAGACTTGTTTAACAGCTGTACTGGAGCAAGGACAGTCACTGGGTGGGAGCTGGCTCTTCCCATGGTTGGGTTTTGTAGACTTCCACAGTGAGGGAGGACGCCACCAAGGCAGCCAAGGAACCGTGGAAGATGGTGACAGTGACAGAAGCAGTCACCTAGGCCTGGGCCAAGCCTCAGTGGAAGGTGGCTTTGGGGGCTGAGGCCAGGGAGGCTTTGGGGAGTGAAGTGACTTCCGAGGAGAAAAAGGAAGGAGAGGGGACATAAGCCACAAGGGAGAAGGCGAAGTTTGAATAGGCCCTTCTACCCCATCTACACCTGTTCTGTTGGAAGGAAAGGATTCTGGGGTTTCCTCTGTTACCCATGGATGGCAGGCCCTTCTGAGGTCATCCCAAGACGGGTTTCATCCTGTGGTCTACTTGGATAGTGTAGAGATGGCATTTCAGGATAGACCAAGTAAACCCTCTTGAGCTTTGTTCTCTTCTTTTTAAATTTTGGGGAAGGCTTTCTGAGACAGGTTTTGTTTTGTAGTTCAGGCTGGCCTTAACTTTTTTTTTTTTTTTTTTTTTTTTTTTTTTTGAGACAGGGTCTTGCCATGTTGCTCAGATCAGCCTTGAACTATGTAGCCCAGGCTGGCCTTGAACTTTTGGAGATCCTCCTGCCTCAGCCTCCCAAGTGCCAGGATTACAGGTGTGCATCACCATGCCTGGCTCCTGTTGGTTTTGACTGAAGAGTCATAAACTTTTTAAAGAGATGAATGATAGAGTTAACCCTGACCTGTAAGTTCTGAATTTATATTGTTCCATCCCATGGACAAAACCATTATTTTTCTTACAAAACAAACAAAATGCCAGGACATTTAGAGGATGGGTGTGTAGGACTTCTCCTGGGTTCCCAGGAGATGTGGATGGCCTGAAAGAAATAGGGGCCATCAAGGAAGGGTGCTGCTATCTTACACGAGTTCTTGGACGCAGCATGTATTTTTATTTCTTCTTCTTTTTTTTTTTTCTTTTTTCTTTTTCTTTTTCTTTTTTTTTTTTGTGGAACCGGGGATTGAACTCAGATCCTTGCATTTGCCAGTCAAGCGCTTATCCTACTGAGCCACCTCCCCAGCCCCTATCCCTGGGCTTGCCTAAGCAGGCACTCAATCCACTGAGTTACCTCACTGTCCCTTATCCTTACTTTTTTTTTTCTTTTTAATCCTTACTTTTCAAATAAACATTTGGCACCTTTATTCATTTATTCATTTTTATTATTATTTTTTTAGTGGAACCGAGGATTGAACTCAGGGCCTTGCACTTGCCAGAGAAATGCTTATTCTACTGAGCCATCTCCCCGGCCCCTCTGGCACCATTTTTTTAAATCTTGCATCATCCTGCAATGGCAAACAGAGCACTCCCGGGTTCTGAATGCGTTCACAGACATTGAAAGGACACTTGCGATTAGGAGGCAGATTCATTTTATGAGGATGGGCACTGAGCGGGTTTATTCCCAAAACATCAGGCCCCAAGCTCTGGCAGGCCAGGGCTTCGGTGAGATAGCGGGCTATACGGAGGCAGAACGGCTTGTCAACCAGGGATTGATTCCTACATGTGCGTCCTAGTGATCGCCCATTTCTAGGAGACAGGAGCAACTGGAAGGGCAACAGGAACTGTTACCTTGGCAACTAAGAAACGGAAGTATACTGGCTGGGGAGGGGGAGTGTTCCGTTATAATCCAATTCTTTGAAGCAAGAAAAACTGAGAATACTTTTGACTGGCAAGTCATTTATTTTCATTTTATTATTACTTATTTATTTTTTAAGGAATTCAACAATGATTGCTTTATTTATTTTCTAAATTTATTTTCTTTTTTTAATTTTTTATTTTTATTTATGTGTGTGTGTGTGTGTGTGTGTGTGTGTGTGTGTGTGGCCAGCTCAGCCCACCAGGGAGCGGGGCTGGCTGGCATGTGGTGCTGGGGGATTGAACCGCGGTCCCAGTGCTTTGCTAAGGTTGTTCTAAGTAGGTGCTTTAGACCACTGACCCATCTCACCAGCCCCTATTTTCATTTTTTAAAAAGAGAATAGGAGCCGGGGAGATAGTTCAGTAGAATAAGCGCTTGCCTGGCAAGCGCAAGGGCCTGAGTTCAATCCCTGGTTCTGCAAAATAAATAAATAAAAATAAAAGAGAATAAAGAATAGAAAAAAAAAAGATTAGAAATTGTTTCAATTTCTAATACAAAAATACAGCAATGCAGAACTTCACTTCCTAAACAAAGTCATAGGAATTCAATAGTGGTTATTGTACTGCATGCTGTTGTCTTCAAATTAGTTGTTCAGAGTACCAGATAAAAATGTGCAAAATTGGTCCAAAAATTGGTCCAAACATTTTTAAGTATTAACTGTCCCTTTCGACAGACCAGTGGGAATGAGCAGCACAGTTCTCCACACTATCCTGGGTACACACACATGCAGTGTGTTCCTTCCTTCTTTTCTCCTTTCCCTCTTCCCAGTAGTTCCTTCCCTTTGAGCAATTTCTTTCCCTTTCGCGTATCTGTTGTACCTTTCAGCCTTTCTTTACTCTTCCAGCCTCTTAGCTAGCGGGACAATACCATGTTTACACATGTGGGTCTGACTCATTCCACTTAGGAGGGTGCTCTCCACTTGCAGCCAACTACCTAGAAAAGCCTCGAGTTGATCTTTTTATAGCTGAGTAATACTCCACTGGGTAAAAATACCACATCTTTTTTTTATCCATTCCTCAGTTGATGGGCATTTGGGTTGTTTGCAAGATTTAGCTAATGCCGAATTGCGCTGCTATACACATGGGGGCGAATTGTTTCTAAAGAAACTACTCTAGAACAAGCCTGACTAAAATAGTTTATTAACAGACCAGGTTACTTCCAGATCAGAAAAATAAATAATACACACACTGGCATCATCGCCCTAGGGATCCTCCCCATTGCTTTTAGCACACAGGTCATACTTGCCGCTTTCTTTTTTGTTGTTACCTTGTTTCTTTTTCTTCTTTTTTTTCTTTTCATTTATGTGTTTGGTGCAGGGTCTCATTACGCAGCTTGGATTTGTCGTGATCCTTCTGTTTTCAGTATTGCAGGTGTGTGCCACCACACTCGGAATCAGCTGTGGGCTCAGCAACCCCCGAGGCAGGGCCGGCAGGGCATGCAGGACCAGGGATTGGACCCCAGTCCCTGTGCTTGCCAAAGCAGGCGCTTAGTTCACTGAGCTATCTCACCGGCCCTGTTTGGTTTTTAAGGAGAGACCTGCTCTGCATGTCAGGCTGCACTGAGCTCCCTGCATAGCCCAGGCGGCCTGTGGCCTCAAACCCTCTGCGATCCTCCTGACTCAGCCTCCTGAGTGCTGGGATCACAGGTATTATTCACCACCAGGCCTTGTGCCTGCCACTTGCAAAAGCAGTCTTGGAAATCCTTTTTTCTACCTTTACTAGGGGTAATCCAAAGTATGGTGAGTGCTGCTGCTGAGCACCACCCAGTGGAAAGGCAGATGGTGACACATTCCACGGTCTTTTCTTCCCCCTCATCCACCAGTCCTGTTCTGTGGGACTTCCTGTTCTTCCCCAAAGTCAAGGCGACCTTGGAAAGTGAATGTTTGGATTCAAGTCAGGCCACTGAGGCAGCCACGCCACTTCAAGTAGACAGGAAGGAATCCTCCCAGAACTGCTCCAGAAAGGGACATGAATGATGGGCTGGGTAGGGGACAGGGACAAAAAGAGAATGAGCTGTGTTAGCACACGTGCCAACTCCTCACAATGCATTCGATCGTGGCCTGCAAACGTGTACTCTAAAAATGGATCAGATGAATCTCTGAAGCAGGGAGTAGTTTTTTTTTTTTTTTTTAATTTTTAAAATCTTAGGGCTGACCAGACAGCTCAGCAGACTAAAGCGCCTGCTTAGGCAGGTGCAGCAACTGGGGTTCGATCCCCAGTGTGCCAGCCCTGCCTCCGGGGCATGCTGGGACAAAGACTGGGAGTGGTGGCGCTCATCTGTAATCCCAGTGCTTGGGAGGCTGAAAACAGGAGGATCACATGAGTCTGATCTGTGCAGTGAGACCCCGGAGACCCTGTACTAAACACATTTTTTAAAAATATTTTTTATTGGGGCCCAGGGAGATAGCTCAGTAGAATAAGCACTTCCTTGGCAAGCACAAGGGCCTGAGTTCAGTGCTCGCTTCTGACAAAAAAAAAAAAAAATCTTTTTTATGTATTTGGCACTGTAACGGGTTAACTGAATTTTGTGCTAAAACTGTGGGAAATTATTAGAAGGAACCTTATGCTTCCTGTTATCTACTCTAAGGAATGTATTCTCACTGTCTGCTCAAGGCTGTTCAGCAATGAGTAACTGTTTCTTGTCAAGGCAGCAGGCTGAAACAAACTCCCTCCCTAACCATTTCCTGTAAACATAGCTTAAGATGTAGCTTGTAAAAACATGTGTTTATAGCTAAATTGTGAAAAGATCCCTAAGTTACAAACAGTTTGCAGCTGTGTCAAATGAGTGTGGGTTTTTTGCTGTTCTATGCTAGATAACAAATTTGCTTACCAAACAGGATGTAATTCTGGCTTAAAGCCCCTTACACCCATGCCTGGGGCTGTTCAGTCTCCTGAGAACTGGCGGTCTTCAGCTCAGTAAATAAAAAGCTCTATTCAAATTCCAATCTCACCTATCTGGTTCCTATGCTGAGTGACCCATAACAGTAGAGAGCCTCACTATGTAGCTCAGACTCGTAGTGAGCCTCCTGTCTCAACCTCTCCAGAGCTGGGATTATAGGTGTACACCACCACACCTGGTTTTAGGACCAGCAAAGCAAACCCAGGGTTCCAGGGCCAGCACAGGATGCAGTACCAGGGATCGAACCTGGGTTCTTGTGCTTGCCAGACAGGCCCTTAGACCACTAAGCTATCTTCCCAGCCCCAGGAGGAGTATTTTGAAGTTGATTCACAGCAGTAGTCTTTTATTATAATCAACTTTTAAAAGTAGTCACCATATTTTTTTAAATTTATCTATTTTTATTTATTTATTTATTTTTGGCGGAACCGGGGATCGAACTCAGACCCTTGTGCTTGCCAGGGAAGCACTCATTCTACTGAGCCATCTTCCTGGCTAGTCACCATACTTTTTTATCACACCTTGCACATTATGCCTGTGTCCAGACCTTTTGGGAGAGGACCTGAAGTGCCCCTGCACACTGCCTGCAGGCAGATGGTCCTGTGGTATGGAGCAGCTCTGACAACCCCTGCATGGCTGCCAGGCCAGCCTAGCTCCCTGTCCCATCTAATGGGAGGGTCTCTACTCCTTGACACTTGGTCCTCCTGGCACCTTCAGCACTGCCAGAGGGACTCCTAGGGCCAGGTAGCCACTTGCCCCTCCAGCTGAGGTCCCCTCTTGACTTTCAGCACCAAGAAGTGGAAGTCTGAACTCACAGTGGCCCAAGGCCACATGAAGGACCTGGAGTCCCTGTTCCACCAGAGCGAGGTGGAGCTGGCCGCCGCACTCAGTGACAAGCGCAGCCTGGAAGCAGACATGGCAGAGCTCCGGGCACAGGTGGCCAAGGTAGGCGAGGAGCCCCTGTGGGTCGCCACTGTGGCCCATGCACACATGCCACAGCCCGTTGTCCTGTGTCTCCCAAGCAGAGGACGGTCACGCTGTGGCCAAGCAGCAGATGGAGAAGGAGACACTGATGCGTGTGGACCTGGAGAACCGCTGCCAGAGCCTGCAGGAGGAGCTGGACTTCCAGAAGAGCGTGTGTGAGGAGGTGAGGTCGGCTCAGCCCTCACCTGCGTGCATCATCCTGCGTTGTCCCGGCTGCTCCAGCCTGGGGGCGGGAGGCGTCTTCCCTGGGCCTGGAGGTCACATCCCGCAGGGTTACAGGGACAGCCCTTCTGAGCTCCCCCAGCTCTGCAGCTCTGGGCATCCGGGGCTGTGACTGGAGTCTCTTGCCTGTTTTCGCTTAGTCTCTTCCTCTCTGTCCTTCTTCTATGAATCTCTTTAGGGACATTTGCTGCTGGATTTAGGGCCACCTGAATAATCCAGAATCTCTTTTCCAAACTCTCACCTCAGTAACATCTTCAAAGACTCTGTTTCCACATAAGTTCCCACCGCTGGTTGTAGGGATCGGGATTTGGGGCTGTCACCCAGCCCCCCCCCCAGGGTGGGGCCCACCTGCTCTTCTCTACACTTGAGGCCCCTGCCTTCTGTCTCAGCCACGTTCTCTCAGACCTCAATCTCCTGGTCTCAGGGCCTCTGGCCACTTGGGACCTTGGGGCAGACTCGGAGTGACCCAGTGTGTCCTGTGGAACCCGGCTGTGGGCGGGGCCTGGCTCCTGGTGAGGTCACAGAGCGCCCCAGAATCCCAGGGTGGGGCCACTGTGGCCAGTGCACAGGGAGGCTCCTGGCTCTCAGGACCCCCACACAGGTGTCCACCACACTGGGGTCCCCAGGGGCCTAGGGAGTGGACGAGACGCCAAGGGAGCCGGAGAGACTGGAAACAGACCCCCAAGGGAGCCTGAACCTAGGAGGACCCGTGGAGAGAACTGTGGGCGACTCCAGACCCACGAGGGAACCCGGGAACACACTCATGGGGGACCCTGAAATTACGAAGGCACCTGTGGCGGGACCCGTGGGTGAACCCAGGCCCGTCAGGGAACGCGGGTGCACGCCCACGTGCGAGCCTGAGATTACTGAGGAACCCGGAGTCCCGAAGGAAGCCGGGCAGAGCCCCGTCGGGGAGTCCAGGCGCATGGAGAAACCCGGGCAGCGGCCTGGGAGGAAGCCGAAGCTCGGGGAGGAGGCTGTGGAGACTCCCTCGGGGGTGTTGGAAACCATCGGGAGACCTGTGAAGAGGCCCAGGAGGGAGCCAGAGCCCATGAAGGAGCCCCTGAGGAGGCCGGGGAGGGACCTGAAGCCCGCGAGTGAACCTGTGCAGAGACTTGTGTGGGAGCCACGCGGGAGGAAACCCGAGTTCAGGATGGAGACCACAGAGAGGGCCACGGAGCCCCTCAAGGAGCCTATGAGGAGACTCCCATGCGGACCTCAAGCTGGGGGGCCCACAGAGAGACCTGGGATGGAGCCTGACCCCGTGACAAAACCCGAGGAGGGACCTGCGAGGGAACCCAGCCCTATAGAGGGCTCTGCACTCCTGCAGGAGCCCACCGGGAGACTCCCCAGAGAGCCGGTGGAGAGGCTCACAAAGGCCACTGTGAAGAGACGCAGAAGGGGATCTGCGTGGGGACGTGGGAAGAACCCCACAAAGCGCGTAGTGAAGAGAGGTGGGGACATGGCCCTGAGGGCAGCCAGGAGGGTGCCCCAGAAGGAGTCCTGGCTGAAGTCCCCAAAGGGCACCCTGCAGGTGGGTGCCCGTGGTGGCCAGGAGCAACTCTGCTGTCTATGGGATGCCCACTCCCTTTAGACAGCCTCCCTGCATCCCCCACCCCACCCACACACATCCTCATCCCTGGTGTGGAGGGACCCAGCTCCTGTGCCAGAGCTGCTGCCTACCTTCAGAAGAGGCAGCTTCCTTCCTAAAGCATAGGGCCTTGTGCATCAGGGACAGCTACCCTGGTGGCACATGTGCCTGGTGGTCCCATCATTGCCCGGCCCTGTCTCATTCCACCTCTGTCCTGAAGACTTGATCTACTGCCAGCTGTGTCTAGGGCCTTCAGTTTGCTGTGTGGCATAGGCTGGCCTTGAGCTCACCTTGTAGCCCGGGCTGGCCTTGAGCTTGCAGTGATCCTCCTGCCTCAGCCGGCTCAGCCCTGAGTCCCGGGACTATAGGTGTGCCATGCCAGACTTGGCTAGTAATTCCTCTTCTTAAATAATAGCCTTTACAGCCAAAAAAAAAAAAAAAAAATCCTTCAGCCATTAGGGGGCCTGCCCCTTAGCTCAGTTTTTTTTTTTTTTTTTTTTTTTTTAGCTCAGTTCTTTAAGTGCCTGCTTAAACAAAGCAGTCAGGCTCAGGTTGCTGTGGTTCTATCCCCAGAACTCAAGCCAGCCAAACCTGCCCTGAAGGCATTCTGAGCCAGCCAAAAATAAATAAATAAATAAATAAATAAATAAATAAATAAATAACAGCCTTTAGGAGATGCAGCCCCATACAGTAAAGTTCACACTTGCAACCTGTGCAATTCAGTCATGTTTTTGTATATTGAAAAGGTTGGAGTCTGGGTGTGACAGCACATGCCTGTAATCCCAGTGCTGGGGAGGCTGAAAACAGAAGGATCACTGCAAGTTCAAGCTGCATAGTGAGACCCTGTAACAAATACATAAATTAAAAAAGAAAAGGTTGGACAGGCATGGTGGTGTACACCTGTGTAATCCCAACACTCAGAAGACAGGCAGGAAGATCACTGTGAGGTCGAGGCCAGCCGGGGCTAGAAGTGAGCTCACAGCCAGCCTGAATTGCATGACGAGACCATGTGTCAAAAAGACAAAATAAGAAAAAAGGTTTTGCAAGCCGGGCGAGGTGGCGCACACCTGTAATCCCAGTGCTCAAGACACTGAGGCAGGAGATCCCGAGAGTTCAGAGCCAGCCTGGGCTGCGTAGTGAGTTCCTGGTCAGCTCACTACATAATGAGGCCGTCTCCGAAAAGAAAAAGCCAATTGTGCAGGTCCGATCCCTAGTAACAGTCACCAGCCCCGCACCCATGAGTCCACTTCCTGTCAGAATTCACCCGTCCTGGGTGTTTCCCTTGTGTGGAGCCAACCCTATGCATTGTGCGTCCTCCATCTGGCACTGAGCACAGCATCTTCACGGTCTAACATGCCCTGGCAAGTGTCACGGCCAAGTGGCGTTTCCAGCACAGGGTGGACCTGGCTGTGTGCCCGTCTGTCCCGTGGTGGACGCTGCTCCTGCGAACGTCTCCAGGCTGGGGACCCTTTGGGGCCAGGCCACCTGAGGTGCTGAGCTGGGCATGGGGAGCCCAGCGGGGGTGTCAGGACGGGGGTTCGTGCCCAGCGTCACCTGTCCGGCCCCTCTAGGAGGTGCGGGAGACACGGAGGAGCCACGAGCGCCGCCTGGTCGAGGTGGACAGCAGCCGGCAGCAGGAGTACGACTTCAAGATGGCACAGGCGCTGGAGGAGCTGCGCAGCCAGCACGACGAGCAAGTGCGGCTGTACCGGCTGGAGCTGGAGCAGACCTACCAGACCAAGGTGTCGTGGCGGTGCTGCAGGGGGGCGGGCGGGATGCCCACGCCGACGCCGAGGCTCACTGCTCGTGTCCCCTGCCCCAAGCTGGAGAACGCCAGGCTGAGCTCTGACCAGAAGGAGAGCTTCTACACTGTACTGGTCAATGCCGATGGGGAGGTGGGCTCCGGGGCTGGGGTTTCCGGTCTTGAGTGTCCAGCACTGAGGTCCTGGGTGGGCGGGGGCCACAGTGAGGCTGAGCGTGGTGGCCCTCGCCTGGCACAGGAAGTGGCTGTGAGAGCTGTGAAGCAGACCTCGGCCGTGCAGGAGAACTGGGAGGAGGACGAGGAGGACCAGGAGGACGAGGAGGACGAGGAGGACGAGTTCGGCGAGGAAGATCTTTTCCACCAACAGGTAGCCAGGCCTGTCCTGATGACCCGTCAGCAAGTCGCCTGCAGGAGAGCTGCCGGCCAGTTACACAGCTCTGGGGAAGGTGGAGTCTGGCATCTCGCTCAGTTAATACACACTGAGCAACTCCTCTGACTTCTGGGACCACTTGTGTGCCTCAGGCCAGGGGGATGGAGGGATGGGGGAGGGGAGCCGGAAACAGGGACCACAGTGAGCCCTGCAGCATGGGGCACAGAGCCCCCAGGCCTGACCTGAATCCAACACCCTCTTCTCCCCTCTTTCCTTCCAGGTTGACCCTTGGACCATGGCAAGGGGCTGCCTCCTGATGTAACCCCACATGACCCTCCTGCTCTTGAAGTGCTATTATGACTTTTATTGTTCTGGATGTGTGTTTCTAGCCATTCTTTATCACTTATTTATTTATTTATTTATTTGGTACAAGGATTGCTGTGCATCTCAGAATTGTAGTAATCCACCTGTCTCAGCCTCCCCAGCAGTGGGATTACAGGTGTGGGCCACCACACCCAGTTTTGGTGGCTGGCACGGCATGTGGTACTAGTACTGGGGATCAAACCTGGGTCCTTGTGCTTGCCAGGCAGGTGCTTAGACCGCTGAGTTATCTCTCCAGCCCCTCTAGTTTTTAAGCAAACCACCAGCACATGGGGTGGGGAGGGGTCTCGGCAGTGCTTCTCCATCAGCAGTGTCCCTGGATCATCCCTTTGTCACCCTTCTCTGCTGTCCAGACTTTCTGACCCCTACTCTGCTCCACGTTGGCCATTAGGTTGAATTGAAGGCCCAAGGCCAGGAACCCGGAAGCCAAGAAGGTGGAGGCTGCCACTGGGGAGTTGTGGGGATTCTGTAAGAGTGTGGGGTGTGCTCTTTTTAAAGTTTTCTCAGAACCAAAAGCAGAAACCAGGTTCCAACCTGGTAGGGGGGATGTTGGGGGCATGGGTGGCACCTGGGGATCAAGAGTGACTGGAGCAGCAGGACGTGGCCTGGGCCAGGACGCCCCTGGCAGCTCCGGCCCGACAGGCAGGCGGCCGCTGCCTTTTCTGGACCTCGGCTCTGGAGCTGCTCCCACAAATCTTGTCCCAAGCCTGCAGGACCCACAGGCAGGAGAGGAGTGAGCCTGGGGAACAGGGACCCTGCTGTTCCATGCTTTGTCACCATGACACATGGGAGGGGACAAGACAAGGGGACAGGTAGCTTGCGTCTGGGGTTCAGACCCAGGGCAGCCCTGGCCTAGTTTGCAGGAGCCCTGTCCTGTCTGCTGGGCACGCACAGTGCATAGCAAGTGTCACGTGCTCTGTGACTTCACTGAGGGTGCAGCTCTCGGCCAGACACCTAAATGCCAGGTGACCCCATCTGGATGGTTCCACATCACAGCCTGGTCCCTGGACCCAACCCCTTCCCACCATCACCACTCACCCTCCACATAGATATACAAGTTATTTTTTAAAGGATATTTATTTTTTTACATAGGTCTGTAGTAAGATGAGACAGAAGCCTGCTGTTCCCAGGGGGCAAAGAACAAGCGACAGAGCCTAAGGAGACCTGTTGTTTCTTATAAATTGCTGAAAGCTGGGATGCAGGGTCACAGATCACAGCATTTCCCAGAGGCGCCCAGTCTGTCCTTTGATCCTTCAAAGAACAGAGACTTTACCCTGCCTATTATTGTGTGAACTTAGAGTTTGGTGAAAGCGGGAAGGCAATATAGATAGCAGTTTGTTTTCACAAAATTAATTATGCATATCCTTAGCTTGCTTTTAGCCCTTAATAAACTTGAGAAGTTTCAGTGGCTCAAGACTCATTTAAGGGGCCAGGGAGATGGCTCAGTAGAATAAGTGCTTCCCTGGCAAGCACAAAGGTCTAAGTTCAATCATCCCCAGTTCTGGAAAAAAAAAAGGGGAGGGGGGAACTAAACTCTCCTTCTGGCTCCACCTGATTTCATACAACATAGGTGAATACACAGGTCACTCGGGTGCAGCTTCAGGGGCTCCTGTCATCCCAGAGGTGATTCAAGGACAGGGAGCCTGTCCAGGGAGCTCTGCCCCCGAATGGCCAACATCCTTCAGAAAGTGCAGCTCTAGTCTTAAGACGCCCACACTGAGCCAAGACTGTTTGCTGTTCCAGGAAAGTGGGGTCTGGGGTTACACCGCCCCCTGCCCCTCTTGAGTGGCTCTCGCTGCCCATGGGTCCTGCTTGCTCTCCTTGGGAAGTGCCTTTGGTGAGGAATCCTGGGCCCAACGAGGAAGATGTCACTGCCAGCAGCCCTAGAACCTGCTGCCGCCCTTGCTGTTAGAAGTCCCTCATCTCTCACCTGGTGACCGAGTCCCAGGGGATGAGCTATCTCCTCAGGCAGAGGGAAGCGTGGCTTACTGGCAGCCCTACTCACGAGGTCCGGCAGGCTGATCTGCCCGTGGGGCTGCTGCTGCCCTTGGCCTGCCCTGATCTCAGATGCAGCCTCCTGCCCTGACCTGTCCCCTTTTGCGGTCCCTGGGTTGTCCTTGCTTGGAGGGAGTGCAGCAGTGTTGGACGTGGATGGTTGTTAGTCACCAAGCCTCGGGTACTTTTGGTGTGGGTTTCCACAGTGGATGGCGGCCCGTGGAGCCGTGTGCACTGCCTCAGAGAGCTTAGCTCGACTCCCCTTAGAGCGCCCTTCCGACTGGGTCCTGACCCTGCACCTGCTTCCATAGCTGGTTTTAGTCCTTCCCGACACAGCTGCGGCCCCATTTACACTAAAGATCAGAGTCGGGAACGTTCCTGTGTGGACACCACCCGCCTGGCCTGCGAGGGACACAGTGCCAATGGCACTGGGCTGGATGGCTCGCTTTGGGGACTTTGTTTAGGGTTTTTTTAGGTGCATGACAAAGCCAGGAGTGGTGGTGCATGCCTATAATCTCAGCACTCAGGAGGCTGAAGCAGGAGGACTGTTGAGCTCAAGACCAGCCTAGGCTATAAAGTGAGCACAAGGCCAGCCTGAACTGTGTATCGAGACCCTGTCTTTAAAAAAAAAAAAAAAAAAAAAAAAAATGCATGCCAAATATAAGTGATATAAGGGAAACTCCCAACCGAAAGATATCTAGGATGAATTCCTGTTATGTAAAATCAAACAATGAGGGGGCCAGGGAGATGGCTCAACAGAATAAGCACTTTCCTGGCAAGTGCCAAGGGCCTGAGTTCAATCCCCGGTTCTGCAAAATAAATAAATAAATAAAATAAAAATCAAATAATGAATTTTAGGAACATTGGAGGTTAAGAGCAGAATATATTTATTTACTGGGGGAAAGAAAGCTTCTGTCTAACAGAGGGACACGGGGGACCTGAGTGGGTTGCCAAGGTAAATCCTAGGGATTTTTACGGAGCAAAACCTCACAGTGAGGTGGGTCCAAGGTGGGAAGCATGGGAACTTGAAAGGACATGGGGTGAGACAAAACGGTGAGCAAGCCAAAGAGCTCAGCGGTGAGCGTCTCAAGGCAAGCACAAAGTCCTGAGTTCAATCCCCAGTACAAAACAAAACAAAACAAACAAACAAACAAACAAACAAACAAAAAACTGTGGTTAACCAATAAGATTATAAGATAATTGCTCAGGTAAAACTGATTAAATCGGGGTCAAATGGGGGAAATGAATCGTGTAGCAAGCAAGTGGGCATGAATACAGAGCAGGGGCGTTTCCTGTAGGGGGTTGGGTTTGTGACTCAACTTGGCTTTTTAAGGTGATTGATAGCTATTTAGATTATCAATTCCTGAAAGAAAAAAAAATCAATTCCTGATGTCCAACCCTAGGAGGTATATAGATGCATTTGCTTAATCTTTTGTCTTGAGGTCTGGCCCACAAGAGGTGCCTCTTTCCACTGGCAAGGTCTCCCATCTTCTGCCCGGGCTCCTTCCATGACCCAGGCTTGCCTCAAGGCCTGTATTTCTAAATCAGCTGCCTACAACATCAGCCTCCCACCAACAATTTGTAATATACATTTCACGACTGGAAACGTTTGTTGGCGGGCGGGGGTGGGGGGGGTGGCGATTTTATTCTGTTTTGTTGAGTTTCTTGCTTTGTAGTCCAGGGCTGGTCTTGTTGAACGAACTCCAACTCTCCACCATCCTCTCGCCTCCTCCGCTTCACTTTTGCTGGGATTATAGGTGTGTGCCATCATGCCCAGCTGACTGGAAGCTCCTGTTTAACACTCCAATAAACACTCTGATTTTAGCTGTGGCTTCCAATGTGGTCTTAAAGCGGCAGACGTTCCCAATGCGTGTGGATGGGTCGGTTGGCTCGCGCCAGCCCTTTTAACCGAGTCCCCTCCTCCCAGGATATACTGCGCGTGCGCAGCCTGCCGCCCGGAAGCGGCGCCTAGAAGCCAAAAGCCAGTTCCGGCCTCTCTGTGGAATTACCTAGGAAAGATCGAGCTGCACATGCGCGAGCGGGAGGTGGGACCTGTGGGTATAATACTCGGGACTCCGTTTCCCATGGTACCTGGCGCGGCCGGTCTTCCGGCAGCGCGCGCAGCCTTGTTGCGGTTGTTGCCCGGACTACGCTTCCCGAGGTGCTCCGGACGACTCACCTGAGGGCTGCCGGGCTCGACGCGCGTGGCCTACAGCCGGGTTGACTTTGCGGAGCCATGGAAAGTGGTTTCGGCTCCGATTTTGGGGGCTCCAGCGGCGGGAAACTGGACCCGGGGGTTATCATGGAGCAGGTGAAGGTCCAGATTGCTGTGGCTAACGCGCAAGAGCTGTTACAGGTGCGGGGAGCGCCGGCATGGGGGGTGAGGCGGCCGGTTAACCCCGGGCAGGGACGGGCATCGTGGCTGAGGTCTCGCGTGTGTCCACAGAGGATGACTGACAAGTGTTTCCGGAAGTGCATTGGGAAACCGGGGGGCTCTCTGGACAATTCTGAACAGGTGAGATCTCAGGGGTTCGGGATTGGGGGTTTGACAGGGTCTCGACCCGCGCAGGCTAACGGCGTCGCACGAGTTCTACGCATGCGCGGATCGTCCTAGCAGCGCGACGAGGCTTCTGGGCGTGTGCAAATTAAGGGCGCCGGGGGTGGGGGGGGACCTACGCGTGCGCAGTCTCAATCCGAGCGGCATGGCGCAGGGCTGGCTGGCGGCGAGTGGTGGAGTTAGAACTGAGCCGCGCATCCCCTCCCTCTCCGCATCTAGAAATGCATCGCCATGTGTATGGACCGATATATGGACGCCTGGAACACTGTGTCCCGTGCCTATAACTCAAGACTCCAACGGGAACGAGCCAACATGTAACGAAGAGGCGTGGGAGCAACCCTGGGGTCCAGCCCAGGCCACCCCTTCCCCTGTGTCCATCATAAATGTTTTTTGTGAGACTGGCGCTAGCTAGCACGTGCTGCTGCCCGCCCATGGTGTACAAGAACAGTACGACTGTGAGGGGACAGTGGGACTGTCACCTGCAACCAGTGATAACTTGGCTTTTGGGATCCCTGCCCTTTCCCAAAGCCTGGCAGCTAGGTGGACTTCCTTTGGGCCCGGCAGTCGCCGGCCCCTCCCCTGGTGCACCCAGGTCAGTCTCCTGGCCTGGGCTTAGAACCCTTGTTCGGACTTTGGGGTCGGGGTAGAGACCCCACCTTAGCTGTGGCCTCCTGAGGGTGCACCAATAAATTGCTGAGCCAGGGGCAGAGAAACCCGTGCAAGTTCCCTGGGGGAGGTGTCACTCATCCTCGGCACCCTGCCTTTTCCGGAGACACCCACCTTTCCCTTTGGTGCCCCTGGGCTACTGGCTCACAGGCAATGTGCTGCCAATGTAGAAGGGAGGCTCGGCCAGGCGTGGTGGGCCGCACCTGTAATCCCAGTGCTGAGGAGGCTGAGGCACGAGGATCACTGAGAGCTCAAGACCAGCCTGGGCTACATAGTGAGCTCAAGGTCAACATGAACTGCATAGCGAGGCCTTGTCTCAAAAAGAAAAGAGGAAAGGAGGCGTGGGCCACACCCGTCATCCCAGCACTCTGGAAGGCTGAAAGGATCTCAAGACACCCTTTGTCAAAACTAGGGATACCGTTGAATGGGAAGGTTCCGGGTTCAATACCCAAGAGGGGGTGGGATGGGCAGAGGGTTGGAAATGAGGTGGGACATCACTACACTAAAAACTAACATCCCTTCCAGTGGGAGGCTTGTTTCCCTGCTTCCCCCACTTCCGGGCACGGAAAGATGCTGATCCAGCAAGGTTGGGGCAAGGGACTGTTTATTGTAAGAAAACATGCAAATTGCACTCCATTCCCGCCCACCTCCACCGCCTGCTAGCAACCTGGGGGGCCTGCTAGCAACCTGGGGGCATGGCATGGCGGGCAGCTCTCACGTGGACGGCCACGCGACTCACTCCTGGATGTGCTGGCTTATCCAGCCTCTCACTGCAGACACCCGAGTGTAAACACCTGGGAAGTGCGGTCGGCCGCAGCCGTATCCCCAGCTGGTAACCCCCGTTAGTACCCAGCGGCCAGAAGGCTCCCTGCAGGCCAGAGGTCCGCCAGCGTCGCCCTGCAGGGTAGTGGAGAGAAGAAAGGGCATTGAGGCCAGTACCTCCCCCAGCAGCCCTGGGCGGAGAAGAGCATCCGATTCTGGCACCCCTGAGTCATTGGCAACCCCAGGAGGGACCCAAGTGTTTCCCTGAAGCTTCTCATTCGCTCTCTGGGCGGGTTCAGTGCTAGGGACAAACGTAGGCTTTTTTAGACCCAGCCTCGTGGGACCGAGTCTCAGGACCCCGGGCTGGGGGGCTCGCGGTGAGACCTAGGGGCTGGGTGCCCAATAAAGTTGTGGAAACGTCCCCCGAAGCCGGGAAGCTGTCCGGTCGAACCGACTGGGAAGGGTGGAGCCGGGCTTTGGGCATCGCTACCCGCTCTCGTTGGACTAGGGTCCTGCCCCCGCGCTCACCGAGCAGCTGTCCACTCCGCCTTGCGGGAAGCCCGCGCACAGCATGCGGCTGCTGATCTGCACCGGGTAGAAGCGGCGGCACGTCTGCTCGCTCAGGAGGCGCACGGCTGCCTTCTGCAGCTGTCGCGCCATGGAGCCTGCGGCATCGAGGGTGTGGGTGGGGACGCGATTGGAGCCCCAAGCCCGCCCCTCCGCCCCTCCGCGGTCCCGCCCCTACCTCCCTCGCGCACCGAGCCCCAACCGGTGATCACGCAGCGCAGGCCGTCCGTGGGCCGCAGCAAGGGGCTGGGTAGGCAGATGGGGCGCACCAGGCGGCTGCGGCGCACCGGCCCGGCCAGTTCGAGCAGCGCCACGTCGTAGTCCAGCGTGTAGAGGTTGTAGAACGGGTGCTTGTAGATGCGCGCCACGCGCTCCAGCTGGCCCTCGTTGCCGCTCAGGAACGGCGTGCCCAGGAAGGCGGCCCACTGCTGCGGGTCCCCATAGCTGCGGGCGGGCGGAGTCGGGGGGTGACCTGGTGTGCAGGTTTCCCACCCCACCCCACCCCAGGCTCGCCGGCGACGTTGGGGTCCTCCCACCAGAAATGAAGTTTGTTCCCTCCCTTCCTTAGAGACGCCAGAATGACCCCAGGGACCACTCCCATCGCATCTCGTGCTGTGAGGAGCCCTGCTGGTCACGGGGACCTCAGGTGCAGGTGAGCCTGCTCCCCCACAGGTCCCTCCCCATTGCCCACCCTCGGCGTTCCGCAGGCTGAGGGCCTCACAGGCGTGGTGGGGACTCACACATCGAAGCAGTGTGCAGCCGACAGCAGCCACCTCTCAGCCACTAGTACAGCCCCGCAGCGGTGCTCCCGGCGCCGCAGCCACAGGCTCACCTGCCACGGCCACTCACCGCGGCCCGCAGCGCTTCCTCCCACAATCCTGGCCAGCGCTGCGGCGGGTGCCAGGCCACAGTCTGTGGGGAGAGGCGCGGTCGGGGTGAGCACAGTCCTCCTCCCCCAGGGCCTTCGCATCCACCCTGTCCAGGTCTCAGTGCCAGGCTCCTTGTGACCCCGAATCCTTTTTCCAAGCACGCACTCAGGACCCAACTGTGCAGCACAAAGGGATGGCTTCAAGGACCACTGGTGCCACCCCTGGGGGAGGGACGCTTCGTACTCGCCTGCTAACCTGTCTGGCCTTTCCTGCCGTTGAGCCCTCTACACGGCCCACCCACAGCCCTACTATCTTCCACCATGGTGTGGGAAATACATTTCTGCCTCAGCCTCAGCAAATACAAATGTGGCAACAACATAAAAAAGTGAAGACAAGCTGGGTGTAGTGCTGCACACCTGTTATCCTAGAACTCTGGGAGGCTGAGGCAAGAGGATTGCAATCTCAAGCCCACCCAGGGCAATTTAGCGACTGAGCTCCCTGGCCTCCCTCAAGGACAGAGAAGGCAGTCTGGCTGCCCATCCTCCCAGCAGCCCCAGGAAACCCGGAGCCTCCTGCCCCATTTGGACCTGGCCCAGGACCAGGCGGCCTTTAAGAGTAAATATCATAGAAGCCTCAGCCCATCCTGGGAAAATGCCAGCTGCCTGTACTCCGAGCTTTGTGCTTGCTGTAAGGGCTTCCCGCCTCTTGGGGCACTGCAGTTTACGCTTGAATTTCTTCACTTCTGCCACATGGAGGCGCCAACAGTTTATGGGGCTTTAAACTGGCGTCCAAATAGGGCAGCTCCCTGTCACTGTGGTTAATAAAAGTAGCTCCCAAGCCTCCACAGATGGTGGGGCGGCCCTGTCATCTCAGCACTTTGGATGGCTGAGGCAAAAGAATCACAAGTTCGAGCCCAGCCTGGGCAATTTAGCGAGACCCTGTATCAAAATGAAAAAGCTGGGCATGTAGCTCAGTGGGAAAATAAAAAGGGCTGGGTTCAATCTCAGGGCCACCAATAGTTATGTAGTTCCCAGCCTCTGGGTGAAAAGATCGCAAGTATACAATCTGCCCATACCCATGTGTCCCGTGCTGTGGCCATCTGCCGAGGCCACCAAGACCAGATCCTGGCAGCAGCAGTGTGTGGCGACAGACGGGCCGGGCATTTATTTGCCATTAAGCAAAGTGCATTGCTGCAGATGCTTGTGCCTGTGGCTGTTGCAACTTAGGATGGGTTGAATCATGCACCCCACCCCCACATGTATATACTGAGGCCCTAATCCCCAGGACCAGGGCTTCTGCATGCGACTATTTGGAGAGAGGGTCTTTAGACAGGAGAGGAAGTGAAAAGAGGCCACAGGCCAGGCCCTAATCTAATCCAACTGGGGCCAGGTATTTTTGTAGCACTGAGGATGGAACTCAGCGCCTTGGCACTGAGCCACAGGCTCAGCCTTTTTTTCTTCTGGGGACAGGGTCTGGTTAAGTTCTCTATTCTGGGCTTGAACTTGCAATCCTCCTGCTGTGCCTCCCACAGCAACGGGATTACAGACATGCACCCCAATTCCTGGCTCTAGTGTCCTTATGAAAAGAGTCAACCTGGGCATGGAGGTGCATGCAAATCTGTAATCCTAGCATTCTAGGAGGCTGAGGCAAGAGGATCCAGAGTTCAGAGCCAATCCGGGCTACATGACAGGGACAATCATGTAAGGACACCATGTATAAGCCAAGTGGAGGGGCCTCAGAAGGAACCAGCCCTGTAAGTCCCTAACATGGACTTATGGCCTCAGACTTGTAAGAAATGTCATCTGAGCCACCTAGCTGTGAATTTCTCACTGTAGCCCACAGATTCACATGAACACCACCCCCTCCCCTATCCCCCACTTCTCTTGGCACCTGGCAGCTGGAAGGGCGTGGTGGTCTCTGGGGCACCTGGAGGTGGAGTCCGTCCCCTAGTAGTGGCACCCACAGCAGACACAGTGGTGCTGGCAGGGGGGACAGTCCCCAGGCTGGTGGCCCTGGGTGTGGAAGGTCTGCTGGTGGTGACCCCCAGAGCCGTGAGACTGGTGGTTGTCCTGGAGGGGTGGCTGGTGGTGGCTGGTGGTCTCCTGGTAGACAGAGGTGACGTGGACAGGGTCCCCGAGGACATCACATCCAGGACCCAGCCCTTCAGCCTGGTGACACGTGCATACACACCGGGCTTCTTGGCTTGGGCACAGCCGATGCCCCAGCTCACAATCCCCGCCAGGTAGAACACACCTGGGGTCTCCTCACAGGCCAAGGGGCCCCCCGAGTCACCCTGCAAGACAAGGACTGTGGGTGCCTCTCGGTGGGCACTGGCAGACTCTCCCCCAGGTCCATCTGAGGAGACCTGGCTGCAGCCCCAAGCCCACTGGGGGACCGACACTGCCACTTCTCCACTCTGAGCACAGTCACCCACTCTTACTGGATGATACAAGAGCCAAGTGCAGTGTGTGCTGGTCATCCCAGCATTTAGAAGGCTGAGGCAAGAGGATTGCAAGCCTAGCCTTGACAATTTAGCCAGACCCTGTCTCAAAATAAAAATTAAAAAGGGCTAGAAATTTAGCTCAGCATGAAGACCCTGGGTTCCATCTTCAGTGGTGGAAAAGAAATTTCTTCGGTGCTAAGTTTTTCCCTCTGTCTCACTCCTCTCTTTTCTTTCTTGTGCTCAGCATGGCCAGGGCCTTGCACATGCCAGGCAAGCGTTCACCACTGAGCCACACCTCCAGCGCCCTGTGGATTCTCTCCTATGGATAAGACACCTGCCAGGTGCCCTCAGGGTTTTTCTGAGCACTTGTGAAATCCAGATTGGCACCAGAGTCCAGTCCCCACCAGCCAGCTGTCCCCACCGTTGCCCACCTGGCAAGAGTCCACCCTGCCCTCTAGGAAGCCAGCACAGAGCATGCGGTCGGTGAGTGAGAAGTTGTAGAGCACACTGCAGGTTTTCTGGTCCACGATGCCCACGGACGCCCTCTGCAGAAGGTCGGGCTTGGTGGCTGCCAGGAGAGGAGGGAGCCACGTGCTTCTTAGCGAGTGACCACTGTGCCAGCCGGGTGCTGATCACCCTGCAGATGCACACACAGGCCCACAGACTCCACCAGGAGGTGGTGGATCCCAGAGGCCGAATGAAGCCCTGGGGTATCCTCTGACTCTAACCTGTACAAAGCCATTATGGGGTCTCCACAGGAACACTGGCCCTTGTCTTGGCTGGGGTCTCTGAATGGTGCAGCACAGGGTCAGCAAGCTCTTCTGTAAATGTTTTATGAGCCAGCCACTTTCCCCACTACTGGACCCAGCCAAGAAAGCAGCTCTTGTCAGTCTGTCAATGAGTGTGTGTGGGCCACGTGCCAATAAAACTTTTTATTTAAAAAGAGTGGAGCCACCTGTGGCTCCCTGACATGAGCACTGAATGAGTCACAGCCTGTAGGAGGGGTCAGCACAGAGACCCCTACACAGTGGGGCTGGGACTCAGGAAGGTGCCTATCCCCTCCCTCCCCAGCACTGGCCCTGCAAACTAAAGCCTTGTCACCTTGGTCATGGTGGCTACTTACCATTCCCTTCCTGTGTGTTGCCCCAGCCTGAGATCAAGCACTTGCGCCCCACTGGGAACTTCTGGATGGCCAGTGGGAGGCAGACAGGCTGGATATATTTGCCAAAGATCAGGGGCCTGGTCAGCTCGAGCACCGCCACGTCGAAGTCCAGGGTCCCCGAATTGTAGCGCGGATGAAGCGTCACCCGCCGCAGTCCCCGCTTCACAGGGCTCCCACCAATGCCCAGGAGAGACACGGTGCCCAGGTGGGCCTGCACCTGCTCCGCCCGTGTGCTGCCAAGAGAGGCCCTCAGCCTGCCAGCTGCTGTCACCCACACCCCTGCTCCAGACCAGGGGAGGAGCCCCAGCCAGGGGCCCTGGGGAGGGATAAAGCCCGGGGGACTGCTGCCCTCCATGTAACAGACCCGAGTTCCTTTTCTTTCTACTTATTTACTGCAGCACTGAAGATTGAACTCAGGGACTTGGCTACATCCCAGCCTTTTATTTTGAAGTGGGGCCTCCCTAAGTCACTGAGACCCCAGGCTGGGCTCCAATTTAAGATCCTCCTACCTCAGCTTCCCAGAACACTGGGTCCCTGCAGGTTTATAAATGTCACAGATCAAGAATGCCTGAGCGGAGGTCCACCTTGGGGGGAAGGGCCTCGTCCCCACCCCCTGGTTAGGCCCTATGTGTCCTCCAAAGCTGGGACCATCCCAACCTGCTTACAATCAGTCAGACATCTGGGTCGGAGGGCAGAAAGTGGCCCAGGGCAGCCCCAGCATATGGACAGGCCCTCAACAGCAGGCGTTCTGAATGCATGAGGATCTGGGGGTTGGGGTGCATATAAGGAGGCCCGGAAGACCCCCATGGCCTTACTGGTTGAAACAGTGGGCAGCAGACAGCAGCCAGCGGTCGCCCACCACGGTGGCCCCGCAGAAGTGCCTGGTCCCCTCCTTCAGGCTGGCCTGCCAGGGCACCTCCCCAGACACGGCCCCAGCCCCGCCAACGATGCGGATCGGCTTCTCCATGGCTGGCCTGGCTCCACACTCTGCTGGAGGACAAGAAGGTGGTAGAGGGGTCTCTGCCTTCTCAGAAACGGGCCTGCTTGGCCCCGAGAGACCATAGGGACACCAGAGCACAGCTTGTTGCCTGAAGTCTCCCCATTCAACAGAGGAGGCAGCAACCAAGAGGCTTGTCAGCAGGAGGTGACAAGGAACATGTATGTTAGAAAGATGAAGCTAAATTTATAAGGGTCCTGCCAGGTGTGATCGCACATGCCCCACAATTCCAGCATTCCAGAGGCTGAGCCAGGAGGATTGCTTAGTGTGAGGCCAGCCTGGGCTACAAAGAACTGAAGACTCACAAAAAAAAGGAGGGGGGAGAGGGAGAGAGAGAAAAGTCCTATCTTTCACATTTCTTCTGGGAGGATCAGAGACTTCAGTGCTGCTTCTGATTTTAGAAGAAACGTTTCTTGGGCAGGACTGGAGCTCATGAGGGCTTCTCAGAGGCCAACCAGAGTAACTGTGGGGCCACACCTCTACCCCACCCACGAGAAAGGAAACGCATCCAGTCCTGCCCACCATCTCGGTGTATCCAGACGCCCCCCACCACCAGTCATAGGTGGGGCCCTTCAGTGGCTGGATTCCGAGTGTGGATGATGCTGGGATTAAGGGTGTGTGACTACTAAATCTGTCCATTGACTGGGCTGGCTTAATTTTGGACATGGGACCTAAGTCCAATATAAAGGGACAGAAAGAAGTCGCTATTGCCACTGTCACTTGCTCCCTGCTGCCGGCCATGCAGCGCTTCTCCTCTGCGATGCCCTCTGCCAGGCCACTCTGCCTTGCAGTCACCAAGTGTGAACTTAAACCTCTACAAACTGGGAGCGAACCAAGCCTTTCCTAAATTGGGTATTCTGCCTGAGCAATGAGAAAAGTAACTAAACACATGTCCGTAACTCACAGCAAGCAAGAGCCCTGGGACACGGCCCCAGTGTCCAGAGACAGACACACAGTAAGGTGCCCCCAAGACTCTGGAATACTGCACAGCTAAGAAAAAGAGCAAAGCTGTGAAACAACACAGCACGAACAGACCCGAAGGACGCCATGCTCAGTAAGACACCAGACACAGAAGACACACAGAGTGGGGCTGCCTAGACACAAAACACCCAGGACAGGTAAACCCAGAGACAGGAAGCAGACTTGTGGATGCCAGGGTCTGGGGAGGGGACAGGTGACTGCTTATAGGGGTGGCTTCCTTTTGGACTGATGGAATATTATGGAATTGGTGGTGATGGCTACACAATTTGTATCTTTACTAAAAGCCACTGAAGTGTAAACTTCGCTCTGGGCTCACTGACAGAGATCAGTGATCCATCACCCAACTCCCTCTCACTGAGTGAACCCTGATAGACATCAATGACCAAGGCAGACATCAGGGATCAATCACCAATCTTTTACCTGGGCTCTTGACAGACATCAATAGTCAATCACCAACCTCTCCACTGAGTGCCTGGGAAGCCAGCAGTAACCCACACAGCCCTGTATAGGTGTGACACCTTCTGCACCTGTCCACCTGGGAAGTACCTTGTGTCTTAGCTGTGGTGACAATGTCAAGGGCCGAGGCGCTGGGGGAAGGTGTGGCTTTGGCAGGGGTACTAGGGCTGGTGAGCTTGGCAGTGCTGGCAGCAGCAGGGCCAGGAGTGGGGGCCAGGGGTGAGCTGCCCATGCCAATGACCTCCAGGATCCAGTCACACAGCCTGGTGACCCGGGCGTAGACCCCCGGACGTCGGGCTTCTGCGCAGCCAATGCCCCAGCTCACGATGCCTGCTAGGAAGAACCTGCCCGACGGCTCCTCACAGACCAGGGGGCCTCCCGAGTCGCCCTGGAAACAGAAGCAGAGATCAGGGTCCTTGGCAGTGCTAGAGCGTCGAAGAGAGAGCCCAGGACCTGAGATGCATCTCGTGTCTATGTAAGGTGCCAAGAGCAGATACAGGCTGATAATCCACATCTCAGGACCACAGTCTCCTCCTCCTCCGGAGGAGACGAAGCCACGACCATGTGGACTACGGAATCGCTAACATGTCTTTTAACTCTACCACTGGCAGCCTGAAATGACCCAAATAAACAGCACTCCTCCCCCCATAACCCAGTAAGCCTTTGATAATATCATTACTTGCTTAGGTTGACTGGCTGCCGGATGGAGCCTCCAGCCATCCCATTGTCAGCTGCAGCCTTTCTGTCAAACTGCCAGACCTCAGCCTCAGCCTCAGCCTGGCTGTCTTTTGCCTTGTCCCCACACCCAGCTCACCAGGACTTGTGTGTGTGTGTGTGTGTGTGTGTGTGTGTTACTGGGACCTGAACTCAGAGAGCAGCAAGCTACATCCCAGCACACCCTTTTTTTGACCCAGGCTCTCACTAAATCACTAAGTTTCCCAGGCTGTGGTCGGATTTGTGATTCTCCTGCCTCGGCCTCCTGAGGAGCTGGGATGACAGGTGGCACCAACATGCTAAGCCTAATTCTCTCTCTCTCTCTCATCTTTTTTTTTTTTAATTTTAATTTTTTTTTATTTTTTATTTTATTTTTTTTTAAATATTTATTTATTTTTATTTATTACATTTATTTATTGTGTGTGTGTGTGGCCAGCTCAGCCCACCAGGGGGCGGGTCTGGCTGGCATGTGGTGCTGGGGGATTGAACCACGGTCCCCTGTGCTTTGCCAAGCTTGTTTCAAGCAGGTGCTTTAGACCACTGAGCCATCTCTCCAGCCCCTTTTAATTTTTATTTATTTATGTGTGTGTGTGTGTGTGGCCAGCTCAGCCCACCAGGGGGCGGGCTGGCTGGCATGTGGTGCTGGGGGATTGAACCGCGGTTCCTGTGCTTTGCCAAGTTTGTTCTAAGTATGTGCTTTAGACCACTGAGCCATCTCACCAGCCCCTCTCTGACTTTTTGCAACAGGGTTCACTATGCAGTTCAGGCTGGCCTTGAACTCACTTTGTAGTCCAAGCTGGCCATGAACTCGAAGAGATCCTCCTGCTTCGGGCTCCTGAGTGCACTGCTGGGACTAGCCGCGTGCACCACCACACCTGGCTCTGACGCTTACATCACTAAACAAACTCTCACTGCTTTCCAGGTTCCCTCTCAATGTGGAAACCTGAGTGCAGGCAGCAGGCCCTTGCTTTACTTCCTCAGGGTAGGAGGATGGAAGGTCAAGCCCAGCCTGGGCAACTTAGTGGCTCATTGAGGCCTTGTGTCAAAATGAAAAGTTAAAAGGGCTGGGGATCAGCTCAATGCCAAAGTCCCAGGCTCCGTCCCCAGGAATAAATGAATGAATGAATGAATTTGTTTCTCCCCTGTGGAGAGGAGGCAGACACGGGCACTCACCTGGCAGGAGTCCACCTTCCCATCCAGGTAGCCAGCACACAGCATCCTGTCCGTGAGTGAGAGGCCGTACAGGCCGGCGCACAGGGACTGGTCCAGAAGCTCCACAGTGGCTTTCTGCAGCACCTCTGGCTTGACAACTGTCCAGATGGGAAGAGAAAGGCAGGAGGAGAGCACCAGCCCTTCACTGAAGAAGTCTTCCCCAGAATTCAGTTTCCCTAGCTGTAAGCAGGGCTGCTAGCAGCACCCAGCTCAAAAGCCAGTAAAACATAAACCTGCCACACATGCCCCCGGGAATGCTCTTCATCTGGGCAGCTCAGGGCCTCAGGCCTCGCCTCCCCTCCGCACCCCTCCTCCGCCCTCCTGCTCCTCAGCTCAAGGGACATCAGCTCCTTGCTTCCAGGTGCTCAGACCCCAACTCCCTCTCCCTCACTCCCCTCATGGAGACACTGGTGCTGCAATGGCCACGGCTGCCATATCAGGTAGTGTAAATCTAAAATGTTCTAGACGAGGGCAGCCCTGTGTGACGACAATATCCTCTTTTGCACCGTCCACTCCCCCCACTCTATACACACCGGACGCCCCCTGCCTCTGGGACTCGCTCGTGCCCCGGGATGCTCTCCCCTGGGCCTAAGCCCTGACCCATCCGGCTGCCCACATCTGCCAGCTCTTCATGGAAGGCGCGCCTTCACTGTTCTTAAAGCTGCTGCCCCCAAGTCACTTACCCTAAGACTCTGTGGTGGTTTCCTTTCAAAACTGAGCCCACTTTCATGAGCCACTTAATACTGAATCCTATTCTACAAGTTTAATTTTGTAGCTTTGTTGGTGGGCCGAGGGATAGAGCTCAGGGTCTTTGCACTAAACTACAACCCCAATCTTTTTTATTGTTTTTTTTGAGACGGGGTCTCCCTCGGTCACTACATTGCCCAGTGTGGATTTCAACTTGTGATCCTCCTGCTTCAGGCTCCCAGAGCACTGAGATGACAGGTGCATGCCACCACACCCAGTTATAAACTTTACGTTATAAACTTTAGCTCTTTATAACTTAATCATCTCAGGGACTTTGTTACACAAATGGAAACCCAACCTATGCACCATCTAGTAAAACAAGAATGTAAAACAAATAAAGCTGTGAGTGGGGGAACACACCTGCAATCCTAGCACTTGGGAGGCTGAGGCAGGAGGATCTCTGTGAGTTCAAGGCCAACCTGGGCTACAAGTGAGTTCAAGGCAGGCCTGAACTGCATAGTGAGACCCTGCCTCAATAAATAAATAAATAAATAAATAAATAAATAAATAAACCAAGAATGCACAAGGTAGCCTGTGCCACCTCTGCTGGGGACAGCTGCCTCAGGCAACCAAATACTGCACCTTTCCATGTGTTTCTGTAACTAGCCACCAAAACCCCACAAGTATCAATTTTGGGTAACATAAATGATAGCACAGCTAGGTGTGGTGGTGCACAGCTATTAATCCCAGTACTCTGAGAGGCTGCAGCAGGAGGATCACAAGTTCAAACCTAGCCTAGGCAGCTTACTGACTTAGTGAGACCCTGCCTCACAATAAAAAATAATAGGCCGGGGATGGAGCTCAGGGCGAAGCACCCCCACCCAGCTTCGCGAAAGAATAAAAGCCGAAGGAGGCAGTTCGCCAGCGCCCCCATGGCTCCTCCCTCCCCCGGCCCCGGGGCGGACCGCAGCTCACGGACGTCCTCCTTGAGATAGCCCCAGCCCGAGATGAGGCACTTGCTGCCCGGCGGGAAGATGTGCGAGGCGGCCGGGAGACAGGCGGGCTGGATGTGGCGGCCGAGGGGCAGGGGCCGCGCCAGCTCCAGCACGGCCGCGTCGAAGTCTGCGGTGTCCGCGTTGTAGCGCGGGTGCCTGGCGATGCGCGCCACACGCACGCGCACCGCGCCGGCCTCGGCGCCGCTCAGCACAGTGGAGCCCGCGTGCGCCTCCCACTCGGCGGCGTCCTGAAAGCTGCGGGGCGCAGCGGCTCAGGGGGCGGGCACGGGCGGGGCGGG